GATACAAAAAGCTCAATTTTGAGTCAAGGAGCCCAGAACCATGTTTTGTTGGTCCAGTCTCCATATATTAAATCATCGCAACGCTTGAAGTTACAAATAAGAATAATGGTGATGATTCATTCTTAACTGACACCTTTAATTCCGAGAAATTTCCTTCTTTAGAGGAACTTGAAGGTTTAACACCTGGTAATAATTTTAATTTTGAAAAAGAAAACAAGACAAATCATTTTGACACAACCAAGCCAGATGAAAAGATTACTTCTCCATATATGAATGAAGATAAAGTCGAAAATACACTTAAAAACAAGCCAATTGATTTATTAAAAGGATTGATGAAACCTTCGACTAATACCAAAGATGCTCGTTCATCAGAAAATTTCGATTCTATTTTTACCAATAATTATAACAATAACAATAACAATAACAATAACAATAATGATAATTATAATTATAATACATTTAACACATCATCATCATCATCAACATTTAATACGTCGTCATCATCATCATCATCAAGAACATTTAATACATCGTCATCATCATCATCATCAACATTTGGTTTATTTGGCTCAGATAATGATATTTCATTTTTTGATCCTTTAGCTTCAAAGAATATTAATAAACCAATAAATACGAATAATGCAATTTTTGATTCTGCATTCGGAAGTACTTTTGAAAATGCATTTTTTCAAGGAAATTTCAAATCTCCTATACCTACTGCCACCACCATTAATAATGATAATGACGATGATATAGATTATGTAAAAACTTTAAAAGAGATGGGTTTTCCAAGAGAAAATGCTATAAAAGCACTTGAAGATAATGATTATGACTTGAACAAAGCAATATTTGCTTTATCTAACGTTTAAATCAGAGCCATTGTATTGAAATTTTAATTTTCAAATTAATAAATTTGTAATGTATATTTTATTTAATAGCATCAAAATTTTCCCTTTTAATTTTACAATCAACTTTGGTTTTCCGCCAATTTTTTGGGGCACAGATAATACTAAGGTATCATCCCTCAGTCGAAGTAATAATAGAAATAGTATTAAATAGATGGAAGTAGATGTTATTTATTGTTTATTATCAAAATCCAATTAATGAATAACCCGATTAAAATTGTTGGCCAGAAATTGATTGCATGATTACATGGCTTCGGATATTTCGGAAATTTTAATATTTGGCGAAGTTAGTTTCAGATTTGGGATTGGGAAAAATAGTTGTATTTCTCCCGAAACCTTAGCTCCTGAACCTATTCGAATATTATTTTGAATGCTCATTTTCGAATATAATTATTTCAAATACTTTCAAATTATAAAGAAAAAAATTATTTCATAATAATTTCGAAATGAATTCAACATATTAATATGATCGACATGGTCAAATTTTGTTCACGTGATTCACGTAAGTAGACCATGAGAAGTTCATTCATTTTATAAAAATAAAAACTAAAGTTTTCATAAAATTTAAACTTCCTTGGGCGTTATTACGAACATTCGTGTCTTCGCTTTGTAATAGTCTCAAAAAAGTTGCTCGTTATGGGTTCATTCAACCAAAACTGGATACCATTTAATCAAACTTTTCCTGTAAATAATATGTATGGCTATAAAGTCGAGGTTTAGTTACTATATATGCCTTTAAAACCTTATTTTTTTTTATATAGAATTTAAAATATTGAAAATCTTTGGACAATTATTATTATTATAATGATAATCTCCAGTTATTTATAGGGATGGGAATGGTTCGGTTTATAAACCGCCAGTTTGGCTAGTGAACCGCACCGACTGGCGGTTTACCACTGCGGTTTGAACCGCGGTTCAAACCCAAGTTTAACCGCAGTTTTATAATTTTATTGGTAGGGATGGGAATGGTGCGGTTTGGTTCAGTTTAGTTTATAAACTGCCAGTTTGACTAGTGATTGACAGTTTACTGATCACGGTTTTATAATTTTATTGGCCAAGTTAAATTTAAGAATTTTATTTTTATAATTTTATTGATCAAGTTAAATTTAAGAATTTTATTTTTATAATAAAATGAAAAAAATTATTTTTTTAAAAAAAACAAATTAATTTGTTCCAATAATCAAACCACTTTTAAACATCATTACTATCTTCTTCATCAGAAAGTTCATATTCTTGTCCAATTTTTTCAGAAGTCCAGCTTTTTAAGCATAACAAACCTCGTGATGTTTCAGGATCTAGGCGATTCCTTAATTTAGATATTGTCAATCCTGCAACAGAAAAGGATTGTTCACATGGAACTGAGGTAGATTGTATTGCCAAGTAATCCTTTGCTAATTCAGATAGAGATGGAAAAGTTTCTTTATGTGTACACCACCACATGAGGGGATTGCATTCATTTTCTTTTGCTAATAATAAATATTTTTCTACTTCATCATTTGTATGAGTATTATTTGTAGGAAGGAACTGACTAGCTAAGCTTCTTATATGTGCACATGCATCAATTCTATTTTTAATTGTTTGTGATGGTGATGTTTGGTTATTGGTGGTGATAGTTGATGTATTATTGTTATTAATGTTAAAACTTGAGTTGTAATGAATTAATTTACATTTTATTGCAGTTACTGTTCTTGTAATTTCATCAGTTGTAAAAGTTGAGCATTTGGTATAGGGATCCAATAATGATGCTATCATTTTTGCTTCATCAGGTAATTTGAAATATTGTTCTAATTTATATAAAATTGAGTTTGCTACTATATATTGTGCATTGCTAACTTTTATCTGTTTATGTAGGTTTTTCACTAGTGTCCACAGTGTAAAATGAAATTCTCCAATTGTAGAATAATTGGATGATGAAAACAGTAATGTTGCTGAATAAAATGGTGATAAAACATCAATCAACTCCTTTAAATAAAAATAGAGCAATTTTTTATTTTAACATATGTCCTAATATTAATAAATCTAAATGTTTTGTAATTAAATTAACACCTACATTTATTTTAAGCCAGTCATTTTCATCAGGATTGAGATGATTTAATATATGGAGACTGGACCAACAAAACATGGTTCTGGGCTCCTTGACTCAAAATTGAGCTTTTTGTATCAAATTAATCAGCAATTCAAGGATTATATTTTGGTACAATTTTTGATGTGTAAAAGTATAATACAGAAACATATAAAATGAGATTGAATCTTTTTATATTTTTAGGTGACCAAATTTAAAAATAAATGATCAGCAAAGAAATTTCTTAAAATGTAAAATTTTAAAATTTATTTTTAAGGTTTAGAAAAATGAACGTTTTTGAAAGGATCCTCAACATGCTGTCTTATATTTTTGTACAAATATTCTTTTATATCCCTTTACAATGAAGCTATGGATATAATGCTAAGCTGTTTATTTGGGTCAAAAATAATCTCTGATTTTAAAAGTTTAATGCAAGTTTCCTCACCACCAGCCATTACTGACACATATACTTTTCCTATGTCTTCTTCAAGTGTTCTACTAAATCTAAAATGGTGGTATTTTTTAATATTTGCTAATTTGGAAAATTTTCCATCAAAAAATGATTGAAAATCATACCACTTCCACTCAGTTTCTTTTTTAAATAGCAAAGCAGAATTTCCTACTGCCAAAGTATTGACCACAGTTTCAATATCATTGATTGTGTTAATAGAAGTATATTTATATTTTTTTTTAATATTCCCAAAGAAACCATCACAATGAAATTTGGTATGTCCAGGAATCATAAAATTTACACTAATTTCTTTGTAACAACCTATCATTATTAGCCAAGTCCAGAACCAAAGAGATAAGTTATTTTTATTTTGACCACCACAATTATCACATGTTATTTGTAATTTGTCTATTCCTCCACATGCTAATCTATTTAGCGAATGATAAACCATGTTCAAAGTAGAATTTGAACCCTTTGTAGTTCCTTGAGGCAACTCATCTTCACCAATAAGATAATTTAATTGGATATTATTTCCATGGTCAGTTCTACATACACCAAATAAATACACTTTATATCCAGCTTTAAAATACATGGAACCTGGTTGTTGTGGTAAATGTGGAATAGATATATTTTGGGCCCAATCATAAAGAATATTTGAAACATTACCATACTTATCACCTTTCTCAATGTTTTTAATAAAATAATCTCTTTCACATTTAGCCAAACTTGTATGTTCTTCATATTTCTTTTTAATCTCTTCAAAATCTGCTTCATTTGATTTGGATTTTAGTTGAGCTTTAAAATCTGTACATGCATCACACATGTCAGTTGCTAGTGATTGGAATTTTAAATGTGGCATTAACTGTTTCCAAATTCTGCAAAAACTTTTTAAGGAGATAACTTCATTGTCAAATTCATTTAAATAATTTTCTCTATATTTTTGGTAAACTGAGGTGTATGTTGTATTAGTAGGTAGATAAATGAAAACTTCTGAATCTTTACGGCTTCACATTGGTGAAGGGAGTCCATTTAATGTTGCATAATTTTCTAAAAAATTTTTAACTGAGATTGAAATTTCCTCAGTTATTGTACTTTAGAATTCCATTCAGGCCTACGACCTGTGTTTCCATGAATGCATTCATCAAGTCCAAATTTTTTATAGTGATCTTTTATGTTATCAAAAACCTCTTTTTTAATTCCACATAATTTCATAAAAACAGTTTGGCATATTTTTATTGAACCATTGAAATTATAACGATACCTAGTTATTTTTTTTGTAGAATTACCATCATTACTCCTTCCTGAAAGATCCCAATCATCAATTGAGTTTTAATAAACAAATCCATTTCTTTTTTATCTAAAGCTTTTAAATGAATCAAACGCTTAAAAAAGTGCCTAAATCCAATTTTTTCAAAGCAAGAGCAGAAGTTTTTTAACTTTCTAGGCCGAAGACAAGTGCAATTAGCAGAACTAGAAAAAAATTCCTTTATTTCAGAAACTGTATTAAATACTAACTCATTATCTTCATATTCTTCTAAACCATGTTCAATTAAATCAAAAAAAATATTGTTATTTCAGCAGCCATTGTTAATATTATATTAATATTAATTTTTATTTTGAATTTAATTTTTAGTTTTTATTTGGAGATCATTTAAATGTGTACTACATAGATCTAAAAATAGGGGGCTTTTTTGTTTTTGTGATTTTTCTCAAAATTAAAAATTAGTTTGAGAACCGTGTTTTGTTGGTCCTGCCCCCATATCAGGATGTTGCACCGCCAACATACTTGCTTGTGTTTTAAATTGTTTCATTTTGTTGAGCATTAAATAGGTGGAGTTTCACCTGATCTCTATATCAAGTTGTGGTGATAAGAATTCAATTGATTGTGAATGAAATATTTGCTTAAAATCCTCCATAAGATTAATAGAGTTACAAATTTTTTTCATGAAAGTGCATACTTTTTTAATTGTGTCATTGTGAACTTGCAGCCCATGCTGTACAGCAATATTAAGTATGTGAGCACCACAATGATGGTGAGTAACATGTGGATTATTATGATTAAAACCCAACTCACTTTTTATTCCTCTTCCAAAAGCTACCATTGCAGATGCATTATCTGTTGTTATTCCTAATACCTTTGATGACACACCTAATTCTTCTAAAAGAATTTTTACAGCATTCACCATATTTTCAGCACTGTGTGATTCATGAAATGGTATAATGTCAAGTAAAAAATGTTTCAGTTTCCATTCATCATTGATATAGTGACAAGTAACCCCAAGAAATGATGTGTGAGAATTTTCAGATGTCCAAATATGCAATGTTAATGATATTTTATTTTTTACATCTTGAATATGGTTTTTAACATGTTGTCATTGTTTCATGAATTTTTTGACAATTTGATTTTTAATGTATTTACAACATGGCATTTGGTAAGGTGGATCAAATTTCTTAATCATTTCTATAAAAAAATTATCCTCTACAATAGAAAAAGGTTGCATATTCATAATTATCCAATTGATCATAACTTTAGTTTTCATAAAATTTTCTTTGGGGGGATATGGGTTAATCTGTTGAAAATTTAAAGTTGTTTGAACACATCTTTGATATTCATTTGGATGTTTGGTTTTGATGTGATTTTTTAAAGTACCAGTTGAAGTTTTCCCAATTCCACTATATGTAGCTGCACAAACACGACACTTCTGATTGAAGCAGTTCTAATTATTTGTGAATTATTAGGAATTTGAACAATTGATGATGATGATGATGATGGTGGTGATGGTGATGATGATGATGATGATGAAATGGAAGGTACAAGCATAATGTCATGTATTTGAATTGAATTATTGATATCAGGAATTTGGATGATT